TATATATATATATATATATATATATATATACATACACACACATATATGTATATTCCAACTAAAACATAAATTTACAACAATGAAATTGGAATTAAACCATTGACATTATTTTTAAAAAGCATGCTTAAAACACTCTATATAAAGCACTCCAAATACCTCTAAATGCCCCACTGGCGTTCCAAGTTCCTGTAAGGCTAGACTATTTGGGATCGAGGGGACATTTTGGGGAAGGGGAGTAAGATCCTTATTAGGAAGTGCAGAGCAATGGCTTCATTTTTGTTATCCACCCATCTTGACTAAAGGCCTGCTGACCGGCAGGTGGTTCCGGGTGCGGATTTTGCCTCTCCATCTCTCTCTCCTCTTTCTTCTTGATGCCAAAGTGGGCTGCTGCCCTTTCCTTGCCAGGGGTCTCCTCCGAAGCAGATGGCAACCCCGCAAGACCCCTCCGAGGGGCAAAGGAAGACGCCTGAAGGTCAGGGCTGGTGACCTGGTGAGCGCCAGGCTCCTTGCCAGCAGCCGCTCTGCTGCGGTGGCCATGAAAAATAGATGACCGCCCACCTGTCTGCCTGCTCAGATGGCAACCCGCTTCTTCAGATCTCCTGTTCAAAGCTAGGAAGGATGGAGAGCAATGGGAGAAAATTTTTTAAAAAATATTGTACAAATTATAACAGTAAAACACAGACCCAAAATACAAAGAGACACTTCACAATCATCATGTAAACCACTATGGAAAGGGGAGAATATCTATTGTGCCTCTCCAAAAAAACTTGTTGTCCACATGGGAGTTGTGGTTGTCCTTGTTTGTGGATATATTCAATGGACATCTACCATTCTTCCTGGAATGTTTCCCTGATTTTATGTCCTTTATTGATTTTCATTTGAAAGGAAAGTTGTTGTTTTTTCAGAAAGCCATTTATCCCACACCTTTGTCCACCGATCAGCCCAAGATGGTTTCCCTATCTTCCAATTCTTGGCCACTTCCATCCTGGCTGCTGATATTTATTAGAAAGGTAACCAAAGCCCTGCTTTTCACCCTACTGTTATTCTTAACCTATACAGATAGCAATACATTTTATTTTCCTCTTCCATTTCTTTCCTGGAGCAGGTAAGAGGTAGCAGCCTCCAATGCATGTGTGTGCATGTAATCCCTTTTCTTGCACCTTGAACCCATTGCTCCATGTTCTGGGCTCCGGAGAAGCAGAAAACAAGCTTCCTCCATCCTCAATAATCTGAAAACTT